AAGAAAAGAAAAAGGAGGCTCATCACTACAAGAAAAAAATATCTTCCTTGAAGAAATCTCTGGAGACATCGAATGCTCAAGCTCGCGAGCAGGAGATGGAGAATGACAACCTACGTTCTGTTTTGGCTCGCGCTCCTGAGGAGGCGATTACAAAGTATAAGGCCTCAGTTGAATGTGCTAGAGATCTCAAGGCATCTGTAGAACAGTATAAGACGTCGTTTGATTACGCTAGGGCTTTGAATTCATATGGGGAGAAGGCGATGTCAGCGTCTATCAAATTCTCCAAGGAGTGGATTATGGCCGAGCATCCTTCTATAGACCCCTCTAGCCTGGATAGATTTCTTGCACAGCGCAAGGGAAAGGAGAGTGCAGCTCAGCTGTCCAGGTCACTTGGTCGTTCATCACGAGGCGATAGTGGGGATCTCTCCCCTTTGGGCTGAAGCATTTCTTAATTGTTGTTTTCTTTGCTAGCTCTTCCTTTTTCGTGTTTACTTTTGTTTAGTCTTGCTATCTCCTACTTGCTCAGGGTGTGGGCAAGAATTTCTCGGATGTATAAACACGTTTTTCATTCGATATTATTAGTGCTGAGTGCGTGGTTTTTTCAAATTGTTGTTTCTCGTGTTATTTTTCTTTTTACCGCCTGATGGTGCAGGGTGTTAGTTTTTTTTTTCTGACTAACATCCAGTAATTGATGGCCTTAGCCAAATTTAGCCTTATGTTACCCCGTGCTTAAGTAGCAGGCTATGTCGTCCACAGGGAGAGGGGTCCTGCGGTTTAGGACCTCAGCCAACTTTTTGACATTTCATGGTTCTTCCCCTAGCTGTGTAGGCTCTGTCGATCGCAGGGGGTGGTCTGGCGGTTAAGGGCCTCAGCCAATTTTTTGACTTTTCAGGGCTCTCCGCCTAGCCACGTAGGCTATGATGACTGCAGGGGGTGGTTTGACGGTTAAGAGCCTTAGCTAATTTTTTGACTTTTCAAGGCTCCCCGCCTAGCCGCGTAGGCTATGTCGACCGAGGGGGTGGTCTGGCGATCAAGGGCCTTAGCCAATTTTTTGAATTTTCAAGGCTCTCTGCCTAGCCGCGTAGGCTATGACGACCACAGGGGGTGGTCTGGCGGTTAAGGGCCTTAGCCAATTTTTTGACTTTTCAAGGCTCTCCGCCTAACCGCGTAGGCTATGTCGACCACACGGGGTGGTCTGGCAGTTAAGGGCCTTAGCCAATTTTTTGACTTTTCAAGGCTCTCCGCCTAGCCACGTAGGCTATGTCGACAGCATGTCTTCGTGGGATGAGCGTGAATTTCAAAGTCGCCTATTAGCATAAAAAATTCTTGGTCTTGTGAGCTCAGTAGGCGCACCGGGACGCCCCAGCTAGGCTGGCCCTTCTGTAGCGCCCTCATCATCCGTCACCGCCAAGGTCTTTCATTGAATAGGAAATGTTACAAATAAAGGTGCCTAGTCTACTGTATTTACAAAAGTGCAGCCTGTGCGCACATTTCGAAATCTACTAGTAATACTTTTTGAGGTGTTCCGCGTTCCACGGTCTACCTAGCGGCCTTCCTTTCATATCTTTCAAGCTATAAGCTCCCTTCCCCAACCCGCGGATTACCTCGTACGGGCTTTTCCAATTTGGACCAAACTTTGGTGGGGGGTGTCCTGCCGTCGCTGCATCTCTTAGCACGAGATCTCCTGGCTGGAAGACCCTTAGCCTGACTCTCCTGTTGAAGTACTCGGCGGCTCTTCGTTTATAAGCCATCATTCTTATTGCCGCCTTATCCCTTACCGCTTCAAGGAGGTCGAGTTCTCCTCTAGTCGCTGCTTCATCATGTTGCTTAACTTTCATCCTTCCCATCTCGCTTAATATCTCAATCGGAACCACGGCTTCCATCCCAAAAGCCAATTTGAATGGCGTCTCCCCAGTCGACTCCCGGGGAGTTGTGTGATATGCCCATAGTACATTGGGCAATTCCTCCGCCCAAAGCCCTTTCTCCTTTTCCAGCCTCGTCTTCAAATCCCATAGTATGGTTCGGTTGGTCACTTCAGCCTGCCCATTTGCTTGTGGGTGAGCAACTGAAGTCAGCCTGTGGTCGATGTGGTAACTTGTACAGAATGCTTGAAAACTATGATTGTCGAATTGTTTTCCATTATCAGTAATGATTACTCTGGGTATGCCAAACCTGCATATGATATTCTTCCAGACAAATCCCTGTACCTTTGTAGTTGTGATGGTGGCCAAGGTTTCAGCCTCCACCCACTTAGTAAAGTAGTCTACGGCGACTAGCAAGAACTTCCTTTGTCCCTTAGCTAGGGGCAAAGGTCCCAAGATGTCCATTCCCCATTGGAAGAAAGGACACACCCCGAAAATTGCCGTCTGTTGCTCGGCAGGAATGTGGATCAAATTTCCATGGCGTTGACACGCATCGCATTTCCTCACCAAATCTTTAGCATCTTCCTTCATATTAGGCCAATAATATCCTTGTCGAAGCATCTTGAACGCAAGTGCAGTGGCCCCTTGGTGGTTGCCATAAATTCCCGCATGTACCTCAACCAGCACCTCCTGTGCCTCTGTTGGTCGCAAACACTTCAAATACGGCATTGTGAAACCTCGCTTGTAGAGCAGTCCATTGATGACGACAAACGAGGCTGCCCGAATTTTTAGCCTTCTCGCCATGAAAGCATCTTCCGGCAATTTGTTCTTTGTTAGATATTCAAACAGCGGGTCCATCCAACTCTCCTTATGCTCTACATTCATAACATCTGTCGTGTGTGGGATGCTAGGTTGCCGCAGAATTTGTACGCTTGCTGTGCGAGGCAGACGTCTAGGGTTAGCGGATGCGAGCTTAGCCAGCGCGTCCGCCCACTCATTGTCCTTTCACGGAACCTTAGTTATCTTAAACCTGGTGAACCCCTTCTGTAAGTTTTTGACCTCCATTAAGTATGATGCCATCTTTCCGTCTTTTGCTTCGAATTCCCCCGTCACTTGCTCGATTATCAATCGAGAGTGCTGCAAATTTCTACTGAAATTACCCCGAGTCTGGCTGCCAATCTTAAACCCGTGATCACTGCCTCAAACTTGGCATCGTTATTTGTAGCTGGGAATTCAAAACGCAGCGAGTACTCCAACTCTTCACCATTCGGCCCTATCATTATGATCCCAACCCCGGATCCTTCGTCATTCGAAGATCATCGACAAAGATTTTCCAATCTGCCTGTCCCCTTGGTGGGTGTTCGGGCGGAAGTGTGAGTTCAACGATGAAGTCTGCTAGAGCTTGTGCCTTAATAGCCGTCCTTGGCCTGAATTCAATATCAAACTCACTTAACTCGATTGCCCATTTCAACATCCTCCCAGAAGTCTCGGGCCGATGTAGGATCTGCTTGATAGGTTGGTCGGTCATTACTTGCATCGTATGAGATTGAAAGTAAGGCCTCAGCTTTCTAACCACTACAATCAATGCAAACACCAGCTGTTCAGCTAGGCTGTATCTTTCCTCCGCGCCCCTTAATACTTGGCTCACATAGTATACTGGTTTTTGCGCCTTTGAGAACTCTTTCACCAGCACCGCGCTGACTGCCCTTGGCGAGACTGCCAAGTAGAGACACAACACATCCCCGAGGCACAGGTTGGTCAAGATCGGTGGCTCTTGTAATGACTGCTTTAAGCTCCTAAGTGACTTTTCACATTCCTGGGTCCACTCGAAGTTGGAAGAGCCTCCTATAGCTTTAAAAAAGTGGTAGCATTTGTCCGCTGCCCGGCTCATGAAATGATTTAAGGCGGCTACCCGCCCTGTCAACCTCTGGACTTTCTTCCTGCTGGTGGGACTTTTCATTTCTAGGATCGCCTGAATTTTGTCCGGGTTGACTTCGATCCCCCTTTGCGTGATCATGAATCCTAGGAATTTTCCCCCTGCAGTGCCAAAAACACACTTCTCTGGATTGAACCTTAACCTGTTTTGTCGAGAAACGTCAAACACTTTCTGCAAGCAGGTCACATGGTCATCAGCCTTAGCGCTCTTGACCACCATATCGTCAACATAGACTTCTACAACATCTCCAATCAGCCTACAGAAGACTTCGTTTACCATCATCTGATACGTCGCTCCTGCGTTTTTCAATCCAAACAGCATGGCTGTGTAACAGTACATGCCAAAGTCAGTGATAAATGACGTCTTCTCTTGGTCGGACTTGGCCATTGAAATTTGATGATACCCCGAAAATGCATCTAGGAAGCTAAGCCTTCCGTGACCTGAAGTTGCGTCTACCAGTTGATCTATTCTGGGAAGCGGGTATGAGTCTTTTGGGCACACCTTATTCAACCCAGTATAATCTACACACATGCGCCACTCTCCGTTTGACTTCTTCACAAGTACAATGTTTGCCAACCACTCGGGGTACTGCACTTCTCGGATGAAACCCGCCTGTAGTAGTTTTTCTACCTCCGCTCTAGCCACAGCCTGCCTCTCGGGGGCGAGATTTCTTTTTTTCTGCTTCACTGGCTTAGCCCCTGGTTGGACACCGAGGCGGTGCTGCGCGACGGTCAGGCTAATTCCTGGGATATCCTCTGGGCCCCAAGCGAAGACATCCATGTTACCGGCTAGACACCTTGCCAATTTTTCCTTCTCTTCGGATCCCAAACCTGTTCCAACACTAAACTCCCATCCTTCGGCAATAAAGATTTTTTCAATCATATCGAGCGGTTCGATCCGCTCCCTCGGGAGTTCCACATCCAGCATCATGATTGATGGTGAGTCATTGGCTTGTATACTATCCACATAGCACTTTCTTGATGCCTGCTGGTCTCCTCGCACGCTCCTGATTCCCCTACTAGTTGGAAACTTCATAACTTGATGATAGGTCGATGGGACCGCGACAGCTGCATTTAGTAATGGTCGGCCGTAAATAGCGTTGTAGGCCATGGGGGTCTTGATAACCAAGAAATTAGTCACGATGACCACTGTCGCCGGGTACATCCCTAGCGTGACTGAAAGCTCCACAGTCCCCTCCGGTATCACTGTTGCCCCTCCAAAGCCTTGTAGGGGGTAGTCACCATCTTCAACTTCTCTTGGGGAACTTTTAGACCCAAGAAGGCATCCCAGGTGAGGACATTTGCCGCACTTCCTCTGTCGACTAACACCCTTTTCACGTCAAAATCCGTTATATCGCCTACTATTACTAAGGCGTCATCATGGGGGTGCGTCACACCAATCAAGTCCCCTTCATCGAAAGTAATGCTCTGGTTGAATCTTGCTTTTTTCTGAATAGAGCAGACCCCTGCGGAACGCGCATAGCTTTTTCTAGCCGAATTTGAGTCGCCGCCTGATGCTATTCCTCCGATGATCATGTTTATCACTCCTGCCCTCGATGGGGGTAGACCTTCGAGCCTTTGCTTGCCCTTGTCATTTTTCACATACCTAGCCAATAGTCCCCGTCTTAGCAGGCGCTCAATTTCTTCCTTTAATTGTAGGCATTCTTCAGTATCATGCCCGTGATCTCTGTGAAAATTGCAGTACTTACTCTGATTTCTCTTGCCGGAAGGAGTTAGCATCGGTTTAGGCCATTCGAGCTCTTTCATGTGCTGTATTTCCATCAATAACTTTGTACGTGGAATGTTCAAAGGGGTGGGTGTCTTGACCTCCTCTCGCTTCTGCCTGATCGGCCGGTCTTGCGCATAACCCTTGTTCATGCGTTCATTCTTCGGCTTGTTCTTATCAGTGTGCTTTTGCTCGTCATATATTTTTCACTTATGAACTTCTGTCTCCCTTCCATCCCTGAGATTTTTAGTTATCTTCTCTGCTTCCTTCGTATCGACATACTTGTCTCCCTTCTTCAATAGGTCATGCATCGATTCTGGGGGGTTCTTGGAGAGTGACATATTAAAGGCCCGATTTCGCGTTCCATTCATCAAGGCGGTAACCACTGCAAACATTTGCAGGTCTCTTATGCCGAGAGTTGCCCGGCTGAACCTAGCTAAGTATTCCTGCAATGACTCGTCCTTGTCCTGTACGACCTGCATCAATCCAATGGTTGTCTTCCTCTTTCTTTTGTTGCTTAGGAAGTAAGCTACAAAGCTCCTGGAGAGCTCATCAAATGACTTGATGGACCACGGGGCCAAGGTCGCTACCCAGTCCCTAGCCTCCCTCCTGAGTGTGGGGGGAAAGGATCGGCACATCACCGCGTCCGGGGCGGCATAAAGTCTCATCAGATCTACGAAGGTTCGCAAGTGGTCAAGCGGGTCCGTGACTCCGTCATATGCTTCTATCATGGGCTGTTTGAAACCTTTAGGCAAGGGGACAACCATGATTTCCGGTGCGAACGGGTCTTCCTCCAAAACCATCTGTCTCCGTCTATCCTTTCTCTTGGACAAGGCATCATCTATCTTCTGGGCCATGATTTTTTCCATCTTTTATTCCAGGTCTACCATGGTTTGCGGGGCTGTTGAGCTTCGATTTCTGGGGCTTCCGCATCTCCCGCCCCCCGCCGAGAGATGGGCGGGACAACCGCGGGTGGCTCTTGAGGCGGTTGCTGGCTCGTCATTTTCGTCGGGCTCAATTGAGAGACAGTGGCTCTCTGCGACTGCTCCTGTAGGAGTGCCATCATTGCTGCCAACTGAGTCTCCAAAGTGCTGAATTGACTCTGCTTCACATACTGCGGGGGCAGCGACAGCTCACATCCCCTTGCAACTGACTCCGACTCCGCCGTATTCCCAACCAGGAGAGTATCACTCCTTGTTCGTCTTCTTGACATGGCTTTTTAGTTTAAATAGTTTCCCACAGACGGTGCCAATGAGATGGTGGTGGACCAACACCCTCCTATTTGCCTGGTAGTGCTTGGCGTTTCGTCTACTCCGTCTAGTATATATGACCTGAAAAATGAAGGCGGGGCTTCCTCCCCCGTTTTACCTCCGGTGTGAGAATTAGTTTATAGGCTTGAAAAAATATGATTGGAATTCTAATGAAGAAAAAGAGAGATAGAGAGAGAGAAAACCTCTTTCCTGTGTCGCGTCCGGAAGTATTTATAGACATTAGGGCTGAGTAACCACTGGGCGGATGTGGTGCCACGTGTCCCACGTTGGCGTTCCCACTATGCCCACGTTCTGAGTGAGGGGTCTCTAGTTTCCAGCCTGGAGATTGTTTCCGTATTAGCGGCCATGGAACCTAGTTAATTCACTAGGAGTTTTATGATTAAGTGTTTGGATAGGCAGTCCCATGTCAGTTGTAGACCTCGTGTAGTGGTAGAGCACCCCTAAGGGGGTCGATGACCTCGCGTAGTGATAGAGCGCCCCCTGGAGGTAGTGGTGGAGCGCCCCTAGGGGGTCGACGACCTCGCGTAATGGTAGAGCACCCCCTGGAGGTAGTGGTGGAGCGCCCCTAGGGGGTCGACGACCTCGCGTCGAAGTGTTGTGATCCATCTTGCTTGTCGTCGAGGGCGGTTTCCTCTACCAACCTATATCAATCATATACCATTTTTATGAAATGAACACTTCTTGCAGCACTGGAAGAAAATAGCAAACTAGAAATCGATCCATTCCAAAACATAGAATCATCCAGAAGAATTAACTTGATTCTATGAGATGGTGCAGAATGTCTTTAGGCTCGAATGATCACCATGAAATTTTCTTGGCTGAAGTGCAAATACTGACAGGAGTGAAATTTCTGGGCAACTAATAAAATTTACCTTCTCACAAAAAATTAGATTAGGTGAAATATTTTCTACCATGGCTTCCTGTTCCACATTTCTTAAATATCAGAAAGGAATAAGTACAAATCACAAATATACAGAGCAGAAATTTTACACAGGGAAGTTGCAAAACGTTTTTTACATTGACGGAATGTACTGCGACATCAATGTAAATGTTCATATCATCATATGCAAATGCCAATTGTTTCAAACATCAATCTAATGCCTTGGAAGGGCAAAAATAAGTTCCTCTCTAATAATAATAAATGATTTATCCTTCCTTACAGGTACTAAACTTGATTGCCACCGGTAGAAACATATATAGGCCCTGTTTGAGCCCCATTATTCCCTTATTAAAATAAAAAATATGACCGACATTCATTACATCCAGTCACCATATTTGACTTTTTATCTTTTGTATAGAACCTCATAACAGATATATTTTTCATTTTTATTTTTACAATAATGTAGCTCAAACGGCGCCATAATGTCTGAAGGATACCCCAACAAAGAGAAGCCAGCATTTCATTACTCAAATACTTTCGATGGTAAAGCAGATAGAGGTTATATTTTATGTTACTCATATATTTTCTATTGTTTTGTCTAGCCGGTGGCGGAAGCACCAACAATATCAGAGTTCAACACAACCCTCACTGCCGATGATCTAACATGAGTGGACATTTACAGCAATAATGAGTTCGGTTAATGAACTAGAAAATCGTGGAAAAAGTTTCTTCCTTACGAACAACCAGACGCAAAAGAATTACCTCCTTGGCAGAAGCCATTGCCAACACACCAAAGTACCTACTCTATCATAGATTCAATTTACTCAGTGCCTTGGCATGATCAGCGAAACTATAACCTGCATATTTAAACAGCGATGATACGTGCACAAGCTTGCATTTTTCGGAGGATATCCCATGACATAAGAGACTACATGCAGGCCACTAGCTAACATTTTCATCACAGGAATTGATCGTTGATACAATAGTAATATTCCAGAAATCAGCCCAAAGGTTCCTACTAATTTTCTTCTTCTCCCTCTCATGGCGTAGCAAACTCTAAAATGTTAGCCAAATCTGTGATTTCGACTGTTTCAGGGAAAGGAGAATAAAAGGACCTAGTTGTGCTGCTTCATTATCATGGTAATATATAGAAAGCTGCCTTGCAAAATAGATGGATAAACAACTCTCCATTCAGACTAAATCTAACAAACTGATTATGTCCTGGGCACACTAGCAATGCATAAGATGAAGAGTAATAGGTATTTGCAGAAAATACTGTACGGACACAAAAATTTAAGTTGTCATAAGAAGTGTAAGATATAGCGCAAGATTTTCATCCTATTGTTCTTTATCTTGCTTGACAGGAGAGGAAGTTCACTTACTCTGGTCAAACTAGATCCTTTACAAAGTGTTTCAAGAAAGTTCTACTGAATTAGAGCAAACTTCACTTAAGTAGAAAATGAAAAATGTAAAAAAGAAGAACGTTCAAGGTTCAATAATCTGCTGTAACAAAATCATTGCATCCATACTCTTGTTAGTTACTACTTTTCAGTTTAGCAACTCCAAAAAACCATAATTAATAAATAAGCACGACCATATTCTAAGAAGCCCATCAGAGGAAAAAATGCTGAGTTGGTGTCTCCTATAATGCTCCATGGTATGGATGTAGGGTGGATCTAGGAGTTATATCCAGTGGGCAAGCTCGATAATGACACTTATTTTTCAATTATTTATATGAAAGTAATTTGCGTGAAGATGAAGGTCAATGGTCAACCTGCTTAAAGCTATCATTAATGGTTCCACCCAGCCACCTTTCTTAAAAGTTATATGGAACGTCAGAAAAGTCTAGGCAGTGAAACCATTTATCACCAACCACTACTTATGTGTAAAAGAACAGGCAATAGTAAACATGTAGAGGGAAACAAATCGCTAGAAAAACAAACTGATAGATATCCAATGAGATTGGAGCTAAGTCATCAACTATTCTAGAGTGTTCCATAGTTAGTTAGCAAAAGATTAATAGAAATCTAGTAGATTGTCTATAAATGTAATAAGGGGAAATTGGGATTTTCATTCATGGAGTGAGACATTGAGAAAATAGTGGAGAGAATCAAGGCCTCTCGAATTGCCTTGAAATTGTCATTTACATTTCTGTTGAGTGATCTATATAAATTCCTTGTTTACATTCCATCTGTCCAAGTTAATTCATATTTTATTATTCCAGTCATCTTACAATTGCACTGTCCATTACATAAATCAGCTACTGTATCACAACATTACAATCCAACTCCATTTTAAATCTCTAACCTAGTGAACAACATATAATCTTCCTGGTTGGCTGAGCAGATCTGGAGCCGGAACACCATTTTCAGCAGCCTTGCAGCTGGGAAGAACCCCCCAGCAGCACCAGCGGTAGAGTTATCATCTATAGATCCATCACAACATCTTCAGCAGCCTGCAGGAACCTATCACAAACTTTGGAAACATGAAGGACGGCAAAAACATGTCTACTGGCATGCATGAAGATAGAAGCCACTAAGCTTCAAAATTGTAGAAAAAATACATGGGAGTTCAATGTTCAAGTGCTCTGGAACAGAAGGAAATGAAATATTTGTAGTAAACTGTATAATATACTCTTAATCATGCAATTATATAGTTCTTGTCATCCAATGTTTGCAAATCTGTCTCAGGATTGAGACCAAAAAAATGCCAACTTGAACCATGAAAGGCACGAAAGAAATCATCTGAAAAAGTACTGACTATAAATTCTTTAGTGAACCTCCTGACAGCGAGAATATGCTTCCTTGAATCAACAAGATCTGAGTTATTAAACACCGATACATGGTGCTCATATGCCTCAAAGCTATTACCAAACAGGACAATACGATTTAATTTATCTACTCCCCAGTTCACTTGCAAAAGATTGTCGTATAAATCAGCCTCACAGTGTGGCATGAAAAATAGTGTAGGTTTTAAAGCTTCTCGGCGACCTTGCTCATTAATTGATAGAACACGACATCCCAAAGATGTCAAAACCTTACATTCCGTCAAAGAAATTATTGGATCAAACACTTCTATTTCTCCAACCCAATCAAAATTCCTCTTCATTAAAACTGCAAGGCTAAGTTGCAAACGAGGTGGTTCAAATGATTCAATACTGCCAATACCATACATCACCATCACCATCTTAGTTTCTGGACCCAACACATTAAGAAACATAGCCAGCATATCAGGATTTTGCATTTGGTGCAAGAAAGAATGGAAAAATTCAGAGTTCTCAAGTTTCTGAATGCAAATCTGCATTTTCTGCATTAATTTTGATTCTCTTAGAGGATCTGTTTCGAAATCGATTGGAGTCCATGGTTTCTCTTCTCTTTGTTGGTCTGGGATCAAAATCTTATTGAAGTTCCTACTCTTTTTCCCACGACGTGGCATAACAATGGTCCAGTCCTCGGTTGGGACTGGCTTTTCAGCATCCAGAATTTTTGCAGAAGCAGCCATTGTTACAGATAATGTCAGTGTTCCAAAACTCAGAGCAGCGCGCAAATACAATCTAGTTGAGTAATTATCCTCAATATGTCTCAATAATGAAGTACCTAAAACACAGGACCAAAAACTATTTAGGATAAAAACGCGGTTGGTCAGTTGATCACCCAACTTACAGCAAAGCTTTATTTTAGTCACTCGCCTTCAAGTTCTTCCAAATTGGTCAGTCAACCTTAATTTTCGTTTCAATTAGAGGAATTCATTTGCTTGCAGCCAAGACAACTAACGGACAAATCTACATTGCCAACGGTTTCGATTATGCTTCATTTAGGGACATTATAATGCTGAATTTCATGCGCCAGAACATAAAGCCCTAGTGTGAAATAAATTTCATGTGCCTGAATTTAAATCCCTAATCAAAATTTTTCAGATAAATAAAATTTTGAAGAGGCAAGTCGCGAATTACATTAGATTTTTTAATTTTCCTGAAGCATACTATCAGTTATCTGGCCCAATAGAGCACAATTAAGAAGGACAATAGGGTCATTCAACAGTCAAGTTATAGAAGAAGAAAGAACGGTGCTTCGATTACATCAATCTCTATGCCTAGATTGAAGAGAAAGGGAAAATCTTCATACCAAGCTAAAGAATCACACTCACTAGTGCTCTGAGATCTCTGAACTTTATCTGGCGATAACTCGTTCACTCGACGACTAGTTCGGCATCCATCAATGAAATGTTCTGATTTCGCCTCGGGGCATATGAACCCTAATTCCCTTTGCCATGCGGCTCAAAAATTTGTTGTCTAAGGTTTTTTTTAATTCATACAAAACTTTTTAGTTAAATCGTGTTGTAACACGGATTTTCAACTTTCACGTGTTAATCGTACCAATGGTCCCTAAATTTTTATCTACCATCTCCAATCGCTCACTACCGAATTTTGACCATCTCAACTTTAAAAAAGTCTTCGATTACTCTCTATGTTTTGAAAAAAAAAATGCCTTTTATTGATCATTAAACTTTGAGGAAGTCGGATTTTGGCTACTAAAGTTCAGAAAAATGTCTTCTGTTGCTCAATAAGGTTTAAAAAAAAAAAACTTTTATTACTCACTGAACTTTGAGGTGATCAAATTTTGACCATTAAACTTAAAAATACGTCTACTATTCCTCACAATAAATTTAAATTTGATTAAAATTAATTATTAAATTTTGAATTTAATTTAATTCTAACTATTGTGTATTTCGTTGTAATTGTTCTTTTCAAGCATTGTCTATCATAATATTTGAATTTTTTAATAAAATATGCAATAAATTGTTTATTAAAAGTAAATTAAATTTTACAACGAAACGCGCAATAAGCCCTTGTTTGGTGGGAATTAAAATAATGTTTTCAGCAAAGTTTTATAAAAAGTTGATGGAATATATAGCTGGAAGCTATGAGTCACATTAAGTCCTTGTTTGATCCCCATTAAATTAAATTATATTACATTCCATTCTTTCTCCTATTTTCAACCACACAATCTTCCACAAAATAATATTACAAGTAAATCAAAAAATTTTCTTTCTTTTCCAACCACTTATTTTTCTAAAAAATATTATTCCCCCCATTTTCATTTTCAGGCAATGGAAATCAAATAGGGGCTAAATACGTACTTAAAATTAATTGTTGACTTTAAGTTTGATAAAAATTTTCATTTCTAAAAACATGAGTTAAATTTGAAGTTAGAGTTAAATTAAATTCAAATTTTATTAATTAAATGCAAATTTATTGTGAGCAATAGAAGACTTTTTTTGAAGTGTAATGGTCAAAATTTGTTCATATTAAGTTTAGTGATCAAAATTCGACTATCTAAAAGATCAATAAGCAATAGAAGACGTTTCTCAAAGTTTAGTGAACGATCGAAAATGGTTTTCACGGTTCAGTGGCCAAAATTCAACCATCCGAAAATTCAGTTGCCAAAGTTCGATCACATTAAAGTTTAGCGAGCAATAATAGACGTTTTTCAAAGTTTAATGAGCAATCAAAAACTTTTTCAAAGTTTAATGACCAAAATTTAACCATCTCAAAGTTTTACGGCATGATGAGGTGTCACATATACATTCCGTCAACCATATCACCAATTCCATTAAGGATTTTGAACAAACGTTATACTAATAAGCAACGACCAACGTCTTTCAAACTTTAGTAGCCAAGACTGGACTTATTAAATTTCAATGAGCAACCGAAATCATGGACATAAGTTCAGTCACAATTGAAACAATTAACTTAATTTCCAAACCGAAATTTTTCCCGTGTGGCTACAAAAATCACCACTAGAGTGTCTCAAACTCACATGTTTAATCGTTGCTGAACTTTGCTATAAATTACTACATGCTTATCAAAATTTAAAATTACTCTTTATTTACTAAATTTCACTATAAATTGTTGTTTGCTCATTGAAATTTAAAAGGCTAATCGTTGGTCACCTAAATTTGTACAAAGTTACTCGTTGCTCACTAAAAGTTGCTACGGGTTACACTATTGGAAATGATATAAGTGGCTGATGGACAAATTTATTCAAATTTGGATGATTAACGATTAACCTTTTAAATTTTAATGAGCAAATTCTATAACAAAATTGAATGAGCGAAAGATAACTTTTTAAATTTCGATTAGCAGTTAGTAACATATAACAAAATCCAATAACCATTGATTAAATTAACTATATTTGAGCAAAATCATCTACCACACGAGTTAATTTAATCAGTGTTAATTGAACTTTGCTTCATGTCACTATTTTTTTATCGAAATTTAAAGAGATGCTTTTTGCCCCTGAACTTTATTATAAGTTACTACTTGCTCACCGATATTTAAAATGCTACTCATTACTCATCTAAATTTCAATAAAGTTACTTATCAATCACCCATATCATTTCCTCCATTTTATTATTATTATTATTATTATTATTTTATTTTTTTTTTTTTTTTTTTTTTTAGCAACGAGTAACTTTTTCAAATTTAGATGAGCAATGAGCGACCTTTTAAATTTTGGTAAGGAAGTAGTAATCCATAACAAAATTTAGTGAGCAATAAATAACATTATAAAAATCGATGAACAAATAGTAATGTACAATAAAGTTTAGTGACTGTTGTTAAATTATCTTCCCCGATACAGAGGTTTGTTCCTTTTTTTCCTTTTTGTAAATAATATATTGAAACTCTTCTAAAATAAAAAACAAGTAATCCAATAACACTCTTAATATTTATTTTTTTAGGCCTTGTCTGGGAGAGATTTTTCTCCTATTTTTAGCAATTTTTCAGCCATTACCGACTCCCATTTTGGCTGCAATATTTGATCGTGGAAAAGTAAATACCAAAAATGTCCAACCCTCATGAAGAATGAATTAAATGTAAAGAGGGTAAAAATGTCTTTCTGCCTTAAAAGTGGTCCAAAATTACGACTGGTCTACATGGTAACGGTTAGATTTTGGCTTCAATTTTATCCAAAATTAATCCCAGACAAGTGCTTAGCTAGTTTTCAAAAAGAATTATCACAGAATAATTTTTTCATTTTCTTTGCTTGCTTTCTTTTAACAAGTGATAAAAAGAAGGGTAATTGGCACATAATGTTTCTACCTTTTATTATTATTGTGCAAAATATTCAGACTTTTCCGTTTTTTTTTTTTTTGACATTTTAACCCTCAATTACACATTTGATTTGCTCAAAACGTCTATCCATCCATTTCCATCCAACTTTTCCATTAAGTGAACATGTGTGGTTATTATTCTTTTCTTTCTTTTTTTCCAAATTGGAAGGGTATTATCATCTTAGAACAATTTATCCCTTGTCCCCGTGTTTCTTTTCCCATTTCGAGGATTTCTCCATTGTTGAAGCCACTACACAAGCTTTACACTAGTGAGAAGAAATCTACTTGTCAAAGAGGATTACATTGATGTTGAAGATGAAGAATAAAGGGGGCAGAGGTTGAAGAAAGCTTTACACCTACGAGAAGAAATCTATTATGCTTTAGAGTGCGTTCATTTGCTTTATGTACTAGAATATCACGCTCTTTGCATGGAATTGCTCTATCTTGTTGACAAAAAAGGAAGGCCCTCTTATCCTACTAATCAAAAAACAAAATCAACAAATTTGAAATTGAAAACAATTTAAGAAATTGAAAATAATGTTTAGATACCGATCATAAACTGGATATTTATGGCTTATTTGGAAAATTTATAGTTGACGAGGGTTTGTACAAGTCGGGAGTTAAAAAGATGAACCTTTCTCAAATTCATAAAATGGATTGGAACGTTCTTGAAGCAAAAATCAAAAGTCGGTCATATGTCGTGAAAATTGCTATAAGAAATTTATTTTACAGTGAGAGAGTTCAATGTTATTTAGCCACTGTTTACTATTGAATAGAATGTAAATTTTAATTTAAATTAAAATCAACAATTAATGTTAACCATATATTCCATATGTTTCATAACTTTTCAATCACACATTTCATCAACTTTTATAAAAATTAACTAAAAATCTCTATCAAACAGGAACTTAGCATTTTATT